CTTGGGGTTAGCCTGGCTGTATAGGGCAAGATTCCATGAGACCTACCAGGGATCTCTTGCCACTGGATGAACAGGGATGCCAGAGGTTGTTCGTTGCAGAGAGACATTGGAGTTCTGGCCCAATCAGAGAACAAATAAAAGATGAATATCTGTATATCAATTGTCTGATATGTTCACATACCTAGGTAATAGTGCGCTGGTGCTCTCTGTCTCTCTCTGGGTGTGTGTGTATCTATATCTATCTAATCTATATCTATCTATGTATATAGCTTTCTCTCTATAAATATGGATATATATAGATAGATATTTGAGTCCTAGGGTCTGCGGTCTATATTTTCAATCTTTTTTCTTCAGAATATTTGAAAAATGAATATGTATATAGATATTTATATATGCCCATCCTTTGAAAAAGTAGTATAAAACAATGTGTCTGTATAAAATTGTGGATGTTCTCCAGGTCTTGCTGCAGTAATTTCTGGGAACAATCTTCATGACATATCTAGTCCTACAATTATGAAATTAACGTGAATTTGTAAAGGAATGGGTAAGACATTGGCAGAGGTCAACTGATCTCAAAATCTCATAATCTTAACCCAGTACTAGAGCAAAGGAGAGAAGGTTTGAATTTACAGCCTACTAAAATTATTTTGAAATTGATTGGATTGACAGTTATTAAAATTGATTTTCTAATAAATTTTAAGGTTTAATTTTTAAGAATTGAGATTTCAAGAGAAATTCATTAAGCCTACTCTTCATTTTTGCTTCAAATATCATATTCTTTTTGCTATGTACAAAATCCTTTGCTGTAGACTTAGAAACATTGAAAGAACTTTTAAAAATCAAAAACAAAAGGAAATAAGATTTTTCAGAAATAATTTTTAGTTTAGATAGAAACCTAATATTCCTGACTTGAAAGCTTTATCACCAAACATCTTCAAACTTTGGAAAATAAAAAGTAGTTATTTGTGTTATTTAGAATGATGTTATTTTAGTTACATTATGTATGTCATAAGACAATGCAAATGAAAGGTATAAGGAAAGCACAATCTTGAATTGTTAGCGATGTAACAAAAAACATGAAGACCTCTCAGTATAAAATAGGTTACAACTCAGTGGCTAAGTATAATTCACAGCTGTTTGGGCATCTCAGAAGTCCTGCTATCTTTATAATGCACAATTTTAGCTTTCTGTGTTGCATTGTGTGTATCTATGGTTATTCATGCTTAACACAGAACAGTTTATATATGTCTGTTACTAGCATCTAAGCAACTTTACTGGTACTATTTTTTTTTCCCTCACTTTCTGCTAGCTCAGATGTTTGCAAGCCTATTAGCATAGAAAGGCGGTGGGAAAGGGTCATGCATAGTGGCTTTCCATAGTGACCAGAAGTATTATGCACATGTTTAAAAGTACAATGAGTACATTCTTGTGTATGGGAACCAAGAATACATGGGTTTACCTTTTACTGAATGGTCATTTTCCTAATGAACTTGCTGTTTCATCTGGCCAGGTATCTGACCTCTCAGCCAAAACATATCACAGTCTGCCAAATTTTATATGCCTAATAAATAGATTCCATATTACTAGAATTTTTCAGTTATGAGTGTGTCAGTCTCCTATATATTTGACTCATCTTTTTCACTTTTAGCTCTGAAAAGAAATGTTTCCCATGTATCACTTAAAAACATAACATGCAACAGTTGCCACCTACTTCTATTAAAGGTTTATGTATCAATAATTGGAATTTACTTGTCAAATTTACTTATATTTTCTTTACTTAAAATTTATTATAGTGGAAGAATGACTTTGAGAGTATATGATAGCATGTTTTCTCATTTGATTTTTTAAAAATTTGTATTTTGAGTTCATTTTCAGAATCGAATCTGTGACAATTTTGTAAAACCTAAACTGAGAGTATATTCCTCCAGATAGGATTTTGTTTGCTTCCGCCAAGCATCCTTGGACATTATCCAGGAACATTATTTAAGCATTAAAAGTAGTGCTTTAATTCCTTATCTTGGGCTTTCTCTCACCCTACAGGTAATTTTAAGTTTTAAACTCCAAATCTGTATCTTTCCCCAAAGTCCACATAAAGACTAAGAAGTTTTCTTGACACTTTTCCAAGTATTTTCAAGACACCCTCTCATGCCTCCTGCCCTGAAGGGTCCGTACAACATTATGACCAAGATCTTCATTTTAACTCATCACCTTGCAAGTATCTAAGTTAAAATTCAGTTCTTTCTAGGTTCCTGGGATCAGCAAATACCCTCAGGGCAGATTAATTTCCGCCCTCATTTATCCCTCTGCTTCCTCTTCCTTCTTGGTCCCTGGAGATTTTCCTTTTTCCTTTCTTGTTGAGTAATGCTTTTTCATTTGGAAATGTTTACTTCAATATAATACACATACAGAAAAATAAATAAATCATAAATATTCAGCTCATTAAATATACATGTTTAATTTGTAACAATCCATAGAGCTGTATATTTATGATCTGTGTATTTTTCTGTATGTGTATTATATCATCAGAACCCCAGCAACCGCTTTATGTTCTCTAAAAGGCATTACCCAACTCTACCAGGATAGCCACTATCCTGACTTCGGTCTTTATAGATTAGCTTTGCCTGTTTTTGAATTTTAGGTAAATGCGGAGGCGCCTCCCACTCATAAGACTAAGTATGGTAAAGATCTTTTAATGAAACACGGTGTTTGCAGGGCCTCATCATGAAGGGATGATGGCAAGGCCTCATCGTGGGAGAAGATGCCGGTGTTCCACCCTGATATTCTGGAGTTCTGTGTGCTTGTTATTTTATTCTTTGCTGCCTCATAACTATCGCTCTGGGAGACTTGGAAGTAGGATTCAAAATTATACTAAAATATTTAATCATACTAATGATACTTATGATTATGGATTTTCAGGAGATGGCTTATGGCAGTGGGGCCCGGAAGGGGACAATGAACCTATGTAGGCATTTGTCTTGTCTGGTGCCTGAGAGTTTGGCCTGGCTGCTTGGAAGGAGTTAATGTACAATCTTTTGTTTTACAATAGAAGTAGAAGTTTAGTTAAGCAAGTTAATTTTTAGAGTGTTTATTTAGGAATAAAGAATAGTTAGATGTAGGTGTGAATCAAGTTTTAATAACGTCATAGAAAGTCTATTGTACCATGGATGTAGTTTTGGTAATGATTGCAAGTGATGAAAAGTGATGATTATATGGGACCAGTGGGTTGTAACGTTCTTGCTCAAAGGAAAGGACATTGTAATTGTCTTTTCTGGGAATAAACTGTAATCCTATTTTTCTTAAAACATATGTCACTTACAAAGAGATATTATGATATTGTTCATTGATTATTTTATGATTATGTAGCAAATAAGAAAGAAAAGTATAAAAGTCTGATGCTTGCTTCAATAAATTGTCAGCATTCAGCAGATCCCTTGAGTCTGTGTGTTTGTTGTCCCAGCATTCAACAGATCCTTTGGGTCTGTATGTTTGCTGCCGCTCCATCGCCGACGCTGCCCTTCCTCCCTTTTGGGGGATCCCTTACCAGTGGGGACCTTCACAGTCTCTGTGTTGGGGCTGGTCCCCGGCAGGTAAATAGACTCATACAATAGGTACTCTTTGTCTATGGATTTTTTATTTTTTTGCATGACATCATATTTGTGAGACTTATCTAGGTTTTTGTGTGTAGTAGTAGTTTGATTTTTAGTTATATCTTATAATTATACTACAATTTCTATATCCATTCTGTTTATCGGTGGACAAGTGAGTTGTTTCTAATTTGGGACTACCACAAATAATGCTGCTGTAAACATTTCTATTATATCTCTTGGTGAACATATGTATTCATTTTCATTTAGTGTATAGCTATGAGTAGAACTGCTAGGGTACACGTATATTTCTTTGGCAGTTTTTCAAAACGAGCATCCTAGTTTGCATTCCCATCAGCAACGTAGGAAAGCTGCAGTTGCTCCACATCCGCTCCAACATTTGTTATCAGGTTTGTTTGCTTGTTTGTTTTAATATTAGCCATTCTGATGAGTAAACAGTGGCAACTTGCTGTTTTAATTGGCATCTCCCTGTTGGTTAATTATTTCATACCTTTCTATATGCTTATTGGATATTTGGCCACTGTGGTTAGTGGAGAAATCCTGCAAATGAAAAACACACTCATTCACATTTTAATTCTTTCCAAATTGTTGATACATCTGAAAATTATCAGAATATTCAAGGTTAATCCTTCCTGTGCCTGTCTTATTTCACAACTCTGTGTAAATAATTTTTGTGACCTATCTCAGTGGTAGTGTGCTAAGTGGAATTCTGTTTGTATCTCCTTTGTTGTGCTTCTCAGATGGCAATAACTGAATCCCTGAGAACTCGTGCCAGATTGCCAGTAGTTGATAGTCCAGGATTAACAATGAAACTTCCTGAAGCATCCTTCTTATTAGAATTTTTTGTTAAAACTCTCTATATTTAAGCCAAGATATTTTTGTGTGAAATACAATGCATGCACAAAGGAGACATAAAAGAAATTTCCACTTTTATAGGTCCCTTTGGGCTTTTCCCCAACCCAAAAGCTTAGGTGTTTCATCTCCTCTACTATTTGGGTACTTTGACATAAATATTTAAGAAGCTCTTTCTGGAAGTTCTCAGGAAAGTTTCCTGTGATGTTACCTCATTCTGCAGAGATTCCCAAGGCTAGATACTGATATATATCCCATGGACTGTGTAGAAGTGCAAAATATGTTAGAACAGCCTCAAGACATGATATAAATGTATAACTACTAAGTTTTTCAGTCTTCTTTTTTACCAGAGTGTGCTTAATTTTGTTTCAGGTAAGTCAATTCAGTGACTTTGAATGATGGTTTCAGTACTGTATAAAAATATAATTTTAACTGATATGAATTTATAACTTTCTGTATGTATAAGAAGCCCCTTCTGTACTGTCTCTTTTAATCATCGTAGTAACCTTCTGAGTTTGGTGTTTTTCTTATCCCTTTTTGCAGATGAGAACCTGAATTCAGAGTGGTCAAAATATGGCCTCAACATCACACAGCCTGAAAGAGGAGGATCCAGGATTTGAACACAAGTGGTCCTCATTGGAGGTCCCACCTTTAAACATTATTCTTTGTCTGGAAAGAATCTTGAGGGAACAAAACTCCTTTGTTATAAAGCAAATAAAAAATATATAATTATGAATGGCAGGGTTGATTTCTGCATATGACGCGATCTTTACTTAACTAGCAGGACTGCAGCTGCACACAGTGGTCAGCTTCCACAAACAGCATTGAGTTATGCTCTTGTAATTTCACAGTCATCCCCAAACCAAACTATAAAGTGGGTGAAATTTGTATTCCTTTTCAGAGCCCTCAGCTCCACATTCTCGACCTTTCTTGCCACACCATTCACATCTCTTTTCTAACTTCCCCTCTCGTATAAACAGAGGAAAATTTGATACTAGCCTTTATAGTGTGGTTGATGGATTCCACTTTAAGTTGCTGTGAATTAATTTCACTTGTGTGCATTACTTCAACTAAGCATCTTCATTCAAGCTTTTTTCTTTTTGGTTTTTATCTCTAATGGAAGGATTTGAGTCCATTAAAATGTCAGCTTTCGGTAACCATGTGGTAAGATAATATGAGGGTGGGAGGTCCTTGAAATAACTCCCTAACTTCATAAGTTGCTCCATTTAATGAGACAGAGAGGGTCTAGAGGAATAACACTGCATAGTTTCTCTACTTATTTAGACCTGCTCTCCTCTGATGAAACTAATGGTGACAGTGGTCCATCAGTTGCTGCAGCAGAAATTTTTGAGGAGTTTTGGGGGGCAGAAGAGCATGTATCCCATTGTTATAATTTTCTTCCAAGACTAGAACAGGTATCTAGGGCACCTCCATTCCTTCCAGACCCTCTGCCCACCGTTGCTGCCCATACAGAGGCTGCCAGATTAAACTGCTCAGACCTTCCGTGCATTTTGATGTTGTGACATTTTGGTAGCCAGCATTGAGTAGTAGCTTTTATGGAAACACGATTCTTGTGACATCCTGGGATGCCTGTGTATTTTGTATACCTTTGATCTCTGATAAGAAGATGCTAAAAATAAAACCATCTTCCTTGTTAAAAGAGGTGCTGCAATGGACTTTTACCTCTGTCACACTCAGTTTTTTATCTGGTTATATGCTTATCTCTCCTTCTGGTCTCATTGAAGTCATGGATGCTTCTTTTCTCTTTCTGTCCTCAGTGCCCAGTAGAATACTTGGTACAGAGAAAGTGCTTAGTAAATGTGGAAAGAATGAATTAATGAATGAGGGGTGAATAGGTACATTCATGTTGAGTCTATATATAATTTTAACCTCTGTGGGTGTATATATAGAATAATTTTCCAACAGGCTTTATGGAACACCATAAAATACCCTACAGCACTAGGATGATTTATGTTACTAGGATACTGGCCTAGGCAAAATTTGTCCCATTTATTAACAAAAATCTAGGACTTAGGTTATAAGTAACTATTAATTTTGGAAAAATTTCCAGAACAAGCTCCAATTTGAGTAACATTTTTAAGAGTCCTGCAGAAGATTTCAAAAAGGCTTATCTTATTCATGGCATAAGTTGTATTAAAAAGATCACAGTAGCCCTTCATTAGTTATCCCGTAGGTTTGTAGACCTTTTTGGATTATATATAACTCCACTCTACCCTTCCCATCTAATATCCTTCTGCTTCCCAACATGCAGCCTTTCTCCACGCATACCACTATCCTCAATAAGCTCCTCTCACCTAACGCATTGGACTCCGTATGGCCTTGGCACATTCCGGTCCTCTCCCTGTACAACCCCTCTCCTATCCTCCCTTGGTTCTGCTCAGTCAGCTTCTACCTACCCTTAGAGTCCAGCTCAAGTCTTTCCTCCACCATTAGTTTTTCCCCCCAACCACTCCTGACTTCTGGTTTTTTCCCCCTGAGTTGCTAGAACACATATTGTTAGTGCCACAGTTACAACCTTATTTCATTTCTACTTGTTCTATATTGATTAATTTTTTCCCAAAATTTCAACTCTGAGGGCAGTGATTGTGTCAAAACCTCTGAATTGCCTGCAATATCAAGAAAAATGCTAAACACATGAAAAGGTACTCAGCAGTATCGTTTGTTTGTTAGCAGAATAGAAGTTTATTTTTTTATGTTTCACTGACCCCTTTACTAACACTGTTACCCATTTCCTCTTATTTGGTCTCCAGAAGTTAAAATTGTTTGTCAAAATTCTTTCTATGACCTATCATGTCTTAATGCTATGTTTTAACCAAATGATATCCAAACTTGTCTGAAAGGAAATTTTGTCTTCCTAATTGGAAACTTACTGTACATTCTGTCCATCAGATGTCAACTTGGAAACACTTTTTGTGTGGATTTTCTTCTCAGCATGCAAAGAACATAGTTTAAAGATCTTTGCAATTTTAACATCTTGGGGTAACTTCAATCCAGGAAACTACATGGCCACAATGAAATAGACAAGGAGGACGCTGAAGATACTTTTACTGGAGATAATATTTTCTCCAACTTTTCATTTAGAACTAAAAAGTGAAATGAGCAAAGAACTGAAGGGTAACCTGTAAATCTGAAACAGCACTTTTCCAGGTGTGAGAGAGGATATGAAATTCCTGACATCGGTTTTTGAAAGTTTAAATTGTAAAGAAAAGGGAAACTACCTGAGATGGTGGTTTTTAACTGAAAATAAGATCAAAGCTCATCAATTCCAAGTGTAGAGTAGGTGAAGGCTTTGGGGTTTGCTCTAATTTTAATATAATATGATTTTCTAATTTTTGCCTACTTTCTACTGGCTCACATTGTTTGCAATTGCATTGATTTGAAATGTCTGTATTTGTGGGGGAAAAAAGCATGTTTTAGTGACCTTTTAACTTGGTAATCTGATTATTAGCAATTAGGTCCGTTTGTTTAGCAGCTGAACTGCATTAATGCTAATTAGAAAGGACAGTATGTTATTCATATTCCCATGTTTCTTTTTATACCCTACCTTCTGATGTGCCTGATTGTACTTGTCATTTATTGTAAGGTACCATGTGGTAAGTACTTGATTTCTTGATTTAAAACCTAAAAGAGTTGTTGTCCAGATTTTAAACTATCTCCACTTACTTTGACAAGGGAAAATGGACTACAGATATATATTTCTGCATTTTCCTAAGTATGTGGAAATTGTAAGGGTAGTCCAAGACTCAGTTATGGTTCTGGGCCACTTCAAAACTGTGCCTTCACATTTTCTGTTTTCTAACCATGGTGCTCTTTGAACTGCTTTTGTATTTTTTAAATGCAAGTAGATCAAGATAGTTTTCTTTTAATTCTACTCTTTATATTTAGACATATTATGCTATGGGCACATAAATTAACATCACAAGTGCCATGATTAATTATGCTCTATATAATGATCAAAATTTCCATTTTACTCAAATATTTTGGTGGCAAATGCCACAGCCTTGGTGAGTAATTGGCCAGGAGAAAGGCAACCTCTTAGGGCTAGATTGACAAGGGTCATGGGAAACATCGCAAATGCCAAGAGGCTGAAATGAGTCTGCCTCAAGAAAAATTCTTTAAAGAATACATTGAAATTAGAAAAAAAATATATAGTCAGTCATGTGTATATGCATCTTACATGAGTAGAGTCAACTTAATAAGCATTTTAATAGCCACTTTGGATATTTGCTAAACTTTGGTAAGGATGGGAATTAAAATGGACACTCACTGAAGGAGGAGGGAGAAGTAAAAGCAGTTTAGAAGATTTGATTTAAAAACAACTTTATTTAGATACTCCGTGAACTTTATTTGAAAATGTCAAATGCCTGAAATAAAGCCCTTGTGTATGCAAGTCATCAGGGTTTGACTGAGACAGTCAAAGATTGAGCTAGCAAAAAATCTTAGTAAATTGTTTTTTAAAATGTTTTCATGACTCAAACACTACTACTGCACTTATGTTTCCCTGATTTTAGATAGGATTATATTTCTTAGACCATAAGTCAACTAAAAATCTCAGTACAATTGTTCCAAACATTTAGTATTTCTGATTTCAAGAAAAATGTCATTGGTTACACATTACAGACATGAGCTATTTGGGGGCACCATTAGAACTCTGATTTGCACTCTAAATATGGGCCAGACTAGAATTCAAAACTACCATACTATTTAAAATCAAACATCACCTAACATCATTTCTGTGTGTCCAGATATTTCTATATACCATCACCTTTGAACAAAATTTCTTCGTTCTAAGACTCTTCAAAAGATCCAGAATCATTAAAACTGTGTAAATTCAGAAATGCACAATGTATCCAACTTCCCAACTGCAGAACTAGGGATTCAGGTCAAAAAAAGAATCATAGCCACACAAAAACTGGAGATCACTGTCATGAGCAGTTGGGTTTGAGATGTGATGATCTTGGTGAAAGGCAAGTTATCTAAGTTTCAAAGACATGTAAACCCTCTAGAACAGTATTTTGTTACCACAATCATGACACACAAAATTTTATCAGGTGCCTTCCCCTTATCCTGTAGCAGGAACAAGAAATATTTCTAGGTTCAGAAATTCAAACCTCAAAATCCCCTTTACAAATAAGTAAACCAGAAAATTTGACAATTGTAACTGTCTTCACAGATTTGCTTCTTGTATGAAACATTGATGGGTTTCAACTCAAAGAAAAAAATCATCTGTTTGAAAGAGAAATACTGCATGTCCTCACTCATAAGTGGGAGATAAGGAAGGAAGGAAGGAAATGAGGGAGGGAAGAGAAAGGGGAGGAAGGAAGGAAGGGAGAAAGACCACAATAAAATGTTGAACTTTCAGGAGAGAACAGACCTATAGATACTAGAGGTAGGAATGGGGGAGGAGAGGGGGATCGGGAGTAACTGGGTAAGGGCCACAAAGAATAATTACAGTTTGTTATGATGAACATGCTAATAATATTGATTTGATCATCACATACTATACACAAATACTGATAGTCAGCTCTGTACCCCACAAATATGTATACTCAATTATGTTTCAATTCAAAAAATACATTAAAAAAATCATCTGTTTATATAGCAATATAGAACATTTCTCACATTCACATTTCCGTGTATGGGAGAAAAAGAACAAGTCCATTTTCTGAAACTTTATTGCTGCGATTTTTTAAATTGATTTTATGGGCCCAACTT